ACTTAAATATTCTTCATTGCTTATAAAAGGAGGTTGCACATAAACCATGCAGCGCATGGGCCCATGTGTTAAATATCTATTAAATATTATATCAAAATCTTTACATGAATGTTGCCCTTACCTGATAAACTTGATTATAATCAACTATGATTTAAAACTACAGAATAGAATGAAAATGAATACCAAGATATAATCTAGATAATTAAGTAAATATGTTTATGAGATATCCTATAATGTCTTTAGTATTTCATTAAAAAAGACAATTCCTATAGCACAAAAAAATGACGTGAAAGACTGGCAGGAAGTTTGCAAATTAAAAGAGAATATATGTTACATAATGACTTCAAACAGCCTGTGTGATTTAAGAAGATATTGTTTCAAAAACTAGTAACCAAAATAGAGGAAAGACAGAAATAGTACTAATAGTTGGTTTTTAAGCAGTAATAATAACTGCACATCACTGAAAATTTGAACTAAAAAATAGTGAATTATTAATTTAAATGAGATAGGCAAAAAATCAACTTTTTAAATTTGATTGAGAATTGTAATAATATCAAATAGAGACAAATTATTAAGAAGATATATTACCACTTCATATATCTTGTTGTAGAAATCATTTTTAAACAAAGGTTAATTTGAACTTGTGACATAAAACATTGAATGCCTGAATAGTAAATTTAAAAATGAAATAACCTATTTTAAAATGTTACTTTTCTTTATATGTGTATAATATAAAAACTTGGCCAAGCAGTGGTGGCACATACCTTTAATCACAGCACTCATGAGGCAGAGACAGACAGATCTCTATGAGTTCAAGACTACCCTGGTCTACAAGAGCTAGTTCCAGGACAGCCTCCAAAGCCACAGAGAAACTCTCTCAAAAAACCAAAAAGAAAATCGTCTACATAAGATGGTGATAATGGACAATACCCTGTTGAATATTTCTTATTCAAAATGCTTTAAAAAGTACCTTATACTTGAAATTTTAGAATATATGAAAATTCATGATATGGTATCTTAATGATTAGCCCAAGAACAAACAAAAATTAATTTATACTTCATAAATACCAATGTATTGAGCTTAAAGTTAATTTAGTATAATATTTTAGAATAATTTTGCACATGAGAAAGTATTGTATGGTATAGTTTATGCTACTGTGGTACGATATAAGTATCAAAATATCTCAAAGTATGGAGCATACTGAACTTAGTGTTTTTCAGATCAGAGATACTGAATCTACTCCAAGATTGGTATCAGACAGTAGCAGATAAAAAATTAGTATTGAATATGGGCTATATGAATGGAGAAAACACTATGTTTGTGAAGCACAGAATATTGACACTAAAATAAGAATTACTTCATAATATGACAGAAAAATTAGTCTTTATAATCCTTAGTGAGCTGAGAATGAGTATATGGTGGTCAGATATGAACTTCTGGTGGTCAGACAAGTATCCAAATTATAGGACTCTATAATGTCATTTATCCCTATAAAAGGAGGAAAATAGAAAGGAATGGAGATATGAAAATAGGAAAGAATGGTAGATGATTAAAAGAAGGAAGCAACAGATAGAAAGTAAAGAAATATGGCAAGATGTTTTTATTAAAGTCTTTGGTATTTTATAGCTTAAACATGATTGTCATATCTTGTGCATTTAGAACACTATTTTTCATAATATTTTAATTGCTACCTTAAAAATGTCTTCTTTTTGTTGCGGTTTCTTTTTTTCAGCTTCATCCAAAAGTTCATCTGTGTGAATGATCCACTTTGTGATGTCTTGTACATTCTGATTAAAGGTTTCCATGTGTTTCTGGTACTCCTGAATTTTTGGAAACAGATAATGTTACTGGTTAGACAAAATTCTTAAAATGTTTGTTCTACTTTGTAAGAAGAAGAAAATGTAGTGTTTAAATTCCCTTTAAGTAACATAAAAAATAGAACATAGTGTTAAGTATAGAAACATATATTAGAATTATATTCTAGTATATCAATATATATAAAAACTAGTTGAATTTTCAGACACAAACATCATTCTTGAACTATTATTTTCTTGTTTTGATTTTCTGATGTTTGTGGAAAAGATTCTGCCTCTTTTCTTACCAACAAAAGATTGAGCCATTCTTGAGCTCTGGAGGTGACAGCTATCCAGTTACTATTCAGCAGACTCAATTTGTCCTCCACCAAGGTTTCCTTCTTGCCCAA